CACTGCACTGGGGAAATCTGCAGTTAGGAACCTCTCCAAATTACTGAGGAGTAAAGGTGTCAGTATGAGGTCTAAGGTGTGTCTGATTCAGGCTACAGTCTTTCCAATCACTTGTTATGCATTTGAGAGCTAGACAGTAAATAAGGATAACAGAAGAATTGATACCTTAGAGCTGTGGTGTTGGAGAAGAGCACTGAACATCCCTTGGATGGCCAAAAGAATGAAGAGATATGTCTTGGAGAGGGTGCAGCTGGAGTGCTCTTTGGAGGCAAGAATGATGAGGCTTCACCTCACACACTCTGGGCATGTTGCTAGGAGGTGCTATTCCTTGGAGAGGGACCTGATACTAGGATGGGGGGAGGGGTGGCAAAGGAGAGGAAGACCCTTGACCAGGTGGATTGATATGGTGACTGCCACAATGGGCTCCTGTGTGTCAGGAAGGCACAGGATAGAAGAGGGTTCAGAGCTTTTCTTCATAGGGTTCCTATGAGTACTCAACTCAATGGCACCTAAGAACAATATAAGCATATGAATATGATCTGTAGTGTGTTCTATAACTCTAATTTGTTCCTTAAGAAAAATCAACTCACTGCCATTTGTCTGTAGATCTTAACATCTAGAACAAGCATTATCTCCTCAACCTAACAAGACTAATACAGTTAACTATTCATTCCCGGCATCTATTTAAAGAATATCTTTATTTTCTCAAAAAGATTTTCACAGTATATTAGAACATTATATACAAGCAATGATCTAACGTTCTTTTTTTAAATTTAATGTTATTACTGGTGACGTAACAAAGCTGCACTGCAATCCCAAAGGCACTGTTTGAATCCATCAGCTATTCTGTGGGAAAAGGATGAGCAATCTTCTGCCTTGTGATCAGTTCTGACTTGATGGCACACAACAACTCGATAGTCCACAGTGAGTTGTGCTACTACCAAAGACCATTTATCCTATGATATAAACATTATTCTTATATCCATTTAACAAACAAAAAAAAACCCACACAGAGACATGGAAAGCTGACAGTTATATTACTTAAAAACCATACAGAGGCATGGAAAACTGACAGTTATATTATTTTTATGCTCACAAATATAAGAAAACTAGTAGAAAAGAAAACCTAAAGTAAAATATAGCTACAATTTTACCTTAGCCCATTCCTGTGTGAATATCAAACTTCGGTATGTTTTATTATTTTGCAATGACTTTATTTAGGTGTTATTCACTGATTCATCTAGTAAACATTTATTCAGTGCTAATTATATGCCCAGTATGGTACTGGATTCTTTGACTACAACACTAAACATACAAAACTCTATGGAATTTGTATAGTTTTATAGGCCATGGGGGGGGAAACCCAAGCCAGTAACAAAATAATTAAGTAAATAAATGCACTTTTATGTGATATATACTATAGGGGGGAAAACAGGAGAGACATGACATTCATGGAAGATACTAAAAATATGTGCTTTTTATACAAAATTTTAAAACACAAGCGGGCAAAAATAATAGAATCATTCATAGCCCTATTATGACAATGACATAGACAGAAGACTTGTTTGGTAGTATTTTTTTGTTCTGCTCTTACAAAACAAAAATTAGCATTATACTATCCCATTATCATCATCAACTGGGACAGTGGCATCCCAATTTTGAGAACAAAACAAAAAACTACATTTCTCGAATGATATAAAAAGCATCAAAAGAAAATGGAAGAAATACACAAGAGTATCTATACCAAAAAGAACTCATTGACAATGAACTATTTCAGAAAGGAGCATATGCTTACCCAAAAGTACTGAAGGAAGAAATCTAAGCTACATGGAAGGCCATGGCAAAAAGAAGTCCCCAGGAATTGATGGAATACCAATTCAGGTGTTTTAGGAAAGAGATGTAACCTGAATGTGCTCACCAGTCTCTGATAACAAATATGATAACCTGGCCAATTGACTTGAAGAGAATCATACTTTTTCTACTTAAAAAAAAATAAGTGATACAACAGAATGTGAAAATTATAAAAAAAATCATTAGCATCAGACACAACTAAAATCTTGCTGAAGATTGTTTTTAAATGGATGGAACAGTATAGCGACAGAGAATTCCCAGAAATTTAAACCAGATTCAGTACAGACTGTCATACAAGAAGTATCATTGCTGATGCCTGATGGATCTTGGCTGACTTGGAGCAAAGAATATCAAAAAGATGTTTACTTGTGTTCTACTGCTTTATTATTGTAATGTACCATTAAGTCAGAACTGACTTATATATAGCTGATCCTCCAGCAGATTTTCAGAGGCAGTAAATCACACAGAGACTGTCCATCCTTCTCCCTTGGAGGAAATGCTAGATTCAAATTGTGTGTCTTTTGGATTGATAGTATAGTTCCTTACCACTAGGCCACCTGTGCTCCCTGTTTTATTGATTATGCAAAGACATTTGATTGTGTGTATATGCAAAGACGTTTGATTGTGTGTAACATAACAAATTATGGATTACATGGAGGAGAATATGAATGAGAATCCCAGAACACTTAATTGTGCTCATGTGAAACCTATTCTTAGACCAGGAAGCTGCTGTCCAAACAGAACAAAGAATACTATTTGGTTTAAAATCAGAAAATGTGTGTGTAGAGCTGTACCCTTTCTCATAACTATTCAATCTCTATGCTGATCAAATCCCTCCAGAAGCTGAACTATAAGAAGATGACTGTGGCATCAGGATTGGAAGAAAACTCATAAAACTACACGTTTTATGTACATGTCACAACCCTGTTTGCTGAATAGAAGAAGACTTGAAGCACTTACTACAGAAGATCAAAGACCACAGGTTTCAGTATGGGTTACATCTCTACATCAAGAAAACAAAAATCCTTACCAATGGACCAATAGGATGGATCCACCATCAACTCCCATGGTGACAACAATCAAGAATTCAAAAGATGGGAGCTCTGGTGGCCTAGTGTCAAGAAGCTGCACTGCAATCCCAGAGGCGCATAGTTCGAATCCACCAGATGCTCTGCTGGGAAAGGAGGGACAATCTCCTCCTGTACCAGTCAGATCTGATTTGATGGTACACAGACACACAAAATAATAATAAAATTTTAAAAAAAGAAATCAAAAGATGTGTTGAATTGGGAAAATACATTGTCCAAGAACTTTCCAAAGTTCTAAAGATCAAGAATGTCAGTTTAAAGATATAGATGCACTTAACATAAGCCATGATCTTTTCAGTTGTTTCCAATGTATCTGAAAGTTAGACCGTGTCTGAGGATGACAAAAGAGTCAATGCTTTTGAATTGCAGTGTTGGCAAAGGGTAATGAATATATACCATGGACTGCAAAAAGAACAAATTGAAGGAAGTAGAACCACAGTTCTCCTTAGACACAAGGATGGTGAAACTTCATCTCACTTATTTTGGACATATATTCAGGAGGAACCAGTCAGTCCTGGGAGAGAGAAATTATGCTAGAAAACATAAACAAGTTCAGTGAAAGAAAAGAAGACCCTCAACAAAATGAGCTGACACAGCGACTACCACAATGTGCTTGCCCATGACAGAGATCTTGAGGACAGAATAGGATAAGGCAACGTTCTGATGTGTTGTTCACAGGGTCATTAGACGTCATAGTCAACTTGATAGCACCTAAGAACAGCAACAGCACTGTAAAATAAGGGAGTTCTGGTGGCCCTGTGCACAGGGAGTTTTGCTGCCGACAAAAAGACAGCCTAGATGATTAGAATCAGAGAAAGATGGTCAATCTCCTCCTATGTGATTTAGAGAGGAAAACCTGAAAACCTGCAAGATAGCTATGAGTCAGTTCTCATTGACTGCAATGAATGAGTGATTCTAAAATAAAGGAGTTTGGTGGCATAATCCATAGAGTAATAGATTTTTTTAAAAAAAAAATTATACCCTCAGAAACACAGAGGAAAGTCACTGTGAATTGGAACTGAGGAGACAGCAGTGATTTTGTGTTTTTATCTTTATTCTAAAATAGTATAATTAATAACTGCATTTCATTGTATGACTATACCTTAATCACGCTGTGTCATTAGGCACTTAGGTTTTTCACTTTTTTTTTTACTATTATAAATAGCTTTGTGATATCTTAGCAGAAAGTACCTGTTTCCTGACCACCTGTTCACTCCAAAAAACAAACAGCTAGAATTTTTTTCCTCTTTAAAATTTTATTTCCAAAAATAGGATTTTAAAAATACATTTATTGGTTTACACAATACAATAAAAATTACACAATAATTTATATACACTGTTTTTAATTCATGTACATTATGTTTATGCAATCTTTCATTTGCATTGTTTCATAAAATCATTCATATACACTGTATTTCAAATAAATAATTACTATTGATCTATGCCTATTAGTATCACATCTTTTCAAATCTCCATTGAATCTTACCTACTCCTTCATTTCTGCATCTGCCCACTAACCTCTGCCATCCTAGTGATTTCTACCCTTCCCATTTTACTGCCCCTTCCCTTTTTTCTGCCTCTTCCCTTTTTGAACATTTATACACATCTTGTTCAGTTATCCTATTTTTATAATAATGGTCTTATGCCGTGTTTGTCCTCATGAGACTAAATTATTTCACTCAGCATAATGCCCTCTAGACTTTCCCATGATATTTTATGAAATCATTATTCCTTAGTGCTGCATAGTATTTTGTGTAGATACGTGAGTGTACAGTTTCCCAACTATTCATTTGGCTGTTTTCATTTTCCTGTTATTGTGAATAACACTGCTATGAACACAGGTCTACAGGATTCCATTCTTTTCATTTATAATGTTTTAAAGTTGAACATGTAAGTTCATTGGATATCTGTATTTATTCTCTTAAACACCTTCTTTATTACTAGTTGGCTAATCTTTCTATATAAAGAATTACAGTAATGCTTTCTCACATACACTGCAAATATTTTTTAAATTTATGCTAATAAAAGGCCTAATGAGTAATTTCAGAAATCTGTACATACCGTATTATTGCAAAACCAGATGATGTCGCCTTCATTACCTGTATAGAAAAGTATTGATCCACCATCTTTCTTCCAATATTTATCAGATATCAAGTACCGCTGTTTAAAAGTTTTATCAATATTGAATCCAAAATGATCAACCTGTGATAAAAAAGACAAAGAAAAGTAATTACATGAAATATAGGTAAAGTAATGTAATCAATTCATTCATCAAATCCATTTTGAAGGGTTAACAGGCTTTAGAAGAGAAGATGAAGGGAAATTATATATTCTATATATATTTATTTATAATATGTTGTTGTTGTTAAGTGCCATCGAGTCTCAGGCGACTCATAGTGACCCTATGAATGAGACTCCTCGACGTTTGGGTGCCTTTCACCCTCTCTCCAAATTCATAGGGTTTCCAGAGACAAGCTATCATGGAAGTAGATGCCACTCCTCCTTCCAAGCTTGTTTTAATCGGGGAGCTACACCCTACTCTCTGTCCGCATTGGGTAGCCAACCATTAACGCATTTGACACATCAGTGTCACAGTGTTCAGCCTCACAGCAACCAAAGTAAAATGTTGTTGT